GAACAATTATCTATTTGACTTCTTTGGTTCCTCTTGCAGCAGAAGGAAGACAGAAAGATAGAAATTGATTATTTTTATGATAGTGGTATTTAGGATCTCATTGCCTTTACCCATTTTTTTAGACTTTGTCAGGGCAAATCATGGTCTTCAAAAATTATGAGTAGGTTCCTTTGTTGCTGTCACTTATCCTTTAATAGTTTTGATGCCGTAAATACAGTTGCCTTGTCTTCATTAGAGATATTTTAAAAAATATTGGAATTCTAGTTTGGAACTTTAAGATTTATGGAAATATCTGAAACTTGGTTCATTTTTCAGGTACATTTTAGGCTAATGTCCTAGAAATATGAATTTTTAGTGCTGAACTTTTAAAAAGAACTGTGGCTCTAGGCCTTAGTCTCAGGTTAAAATGTTGCTGCTTAAGGGCTGCAAATGCATATTTACAAAGTTATCTGATAAGGCCTTGGAGGAGAGGGTCCAGTTTAAAAATCTGACAGTTTGTATTTAGTAAATATAAGCATGAGAGGAAGTAGCAAGTTGAAGGACAGGTAACTGGATGAAAAACTTCAAAACTTAGGTCATAGGTATGCTGTTTGGATTTAGTTTAGTCTTGAGTTGTGTCCACAAATAATTCTTCAAACGATATGTAGAAGAATTATAATTATTAAAATGAATTAAGTCCCTTGGACATTTTGATAGTACATTAAATAGCCGTAAAGTCATAAAGTTTATTTGAAAAGTTACTTCTCATTTGAAAAGTTAAAATTTATGAGCTTGAAGCTTGCTAAATTAATTTGTAGCTCCAATACCAAAAATATACTTGTATATGTTGCAAATAACAAATGCAAAATTTATAATAGAATTACATTGTAACCTTGTTGTTTACCTTTCACTGATTTATTGTATGGTTCAGTATTGATGGGGAGAAAAGGGCTCCACCCCTACCCCCAGGTGGAAGGAGTTAGTCTGTTTGCCAAGATAGTGCTGAGTTCTCAGATGTACACTATAAATTATGGTATAATGACAAATGCAGCAAAATGTTCGAGCTATAAGTTACAAGTTTGGTCATTTTGCAGCTTGACATTTTTGTTTGCTATAATGTTAAAAACATCCAAGTAGGTGATGGTTTATCTGGAGTATATTATTAGTGCTGACGTTTCCTATAAAACAAAACATTGTTATTATTCTGCCTGTCTTGCATTGTACACTAAACTTCATTGTTGTCTCTCATGCTTCTTGGGTTGCTTAATGGTTTATGCTAGCCCTGGAAAGCTCTCAGCAACAATTCATGCTTATACCAAATAATTAAATCTGATCCTTAATATCTGATATCTTGCTGGTACTTCTAGTGATAAGGGATTATTGGAAGTTAGTCACATAATTTAAAAATAAATTCTAGTTTCTCCTTAGCTATTTGATATTCATCCCTGTTCCTGCAAAAGATATGATCACATTCTTTTCTATGGCTGTGGGGACATGTAGGCCAAGTACTCACTGCAAAACACTTTTGCAACTATGCACGCTTATATTTGGTCCAGAAATAATGCATTCTAGACTGGTTTAGAATTACTGGTGGCTTATTTTACAGCAAGGAAAAGCAGCTGAGCATGAGTTTGGTGTCTTTAGAACAGTTTGTGAAAATACGCTGTAAGGGTGTTTCCATTTTCATTTTCCTATTCCCTTAAATATTATTGTACAGAGCCACCATTAGTGCCAATTTTTTTTGGAAACCTTAAAAATATCCCCAAATGTTGAAATTAAGTATATCAAATAACAAATTATCTTTGGTATATTAAACTTTTTCCCTTCGTGGTTCTATAATTTAAGTATAAAATGTTGCCTTTAGTACAATTAAAACTCTTGAGTATGTACATGTTGTATATAAACAAAGCAATATGCTCTCTTGGAGGAAAATTTTGTTTCTTGAAATTTTCTTTCTTTCTCTGACCTTTTTTTTTTCATGATTGTAGTCATTCTTGTTCAGTTCTTAAAAGTTTTGTTTTGCTTTGTTTTGTTTTAAGCAGAATGCAACTTAAAATTTCCTTTGCATCAAGGTTTATCCAAAACTTTGATGGAGTGCATCACAAAATGAAAGTTTGCATTTAGGAAGGAGATGCTTTACACTGTACTGTTTGCTGTTTTTTGGAAAAGTTACATTTAGATCTATTCTGAAGCTGTTAACTTTTGATAAATAAAATGTTACTGATTTCCACAATGAAATACCATCTCATACCAGTCAGAGTGGCTATTATTAAAAGTCAAAAAATAACAGATGATGGCAATGTTGTGGACAAAGTGGAACACTTTTACACTGTTGATGTGAATGTCAACTAGTTCAACTGTTGTGGAAAGCAGTATGGTGATTACTCAGAGAGCTAAAAGCAGAACTGTCATTCAACCCGGCAATCCCATTACTGGATATCTATGCAAAGGAATATAAATAAATCATTCTACCATGAAGACCCATGGATGTGAATGTTTATTGCAGTACTATTCACAATGATTTTAACAATTTCAAAGACATGGAGTCTACCTAAATGCTCATTAATGACAGCCAGGATAAAGAAAATGTGGTAAAAATACCATGGAATACTATGCAACCATAAAAAAGAATGAGATCATGTCTTTTGTGGGAACATGGATGAAACTGGAGGCTATAATAGTAAACTAACACAAGAATAGAAAACCAGGTATCACATGTTCTTACTTACAAGTGGAAGCTAAATAATGAGAACTTAAAGAAGAGAGCAAAAGACACTGGGGTCTACTTGAGCGTAAATTGTGGGAGGAGGGAGAGGAGCATAAAAGATAACTATTCTGTACTGGATTTAATACCTGGGTGATGAAATATTCCGTACAACAACAAACCTTCACATGTATCCCTGAACCTAAAATAAAAGTTTAAAAGAAAGAATGAACACATGAGCAAAAAAGAGTTACAGATTTCACATGAAAACAATAAATAAATAAATAAATAACCTCTAAACAAGACAAAGCTATTTCTCCTTTAGCAAAAACTACATCATCATGTCTTTTTAATAAACTTCTTTACCAAAAAGCACCTTATTTTTGTTATATACCCTGTATTTGGAATTGTTTCTCTTATATCTAGTAGTTTTACTTACATATGTTTACTACTATTTTGACCTTTTGTAACCCTAATTTCCAGTGTGAAACCTAAGATTACTTAATTTAACATAACATGTCTTTAAGATTTTAAATGATGGAAAAGAATTTGAAACTATGACACAGGTGTCCTCCTGTATTAGTCAGGATTCTTTTAGAGGAACAGAACTAATAGAATATATATAATATATAAAAATATATTTAAAAGGAGTTTATTAAGTATTAATGTACATGATCACAATGTCCCACAATAAACCGTCTGCAAGATGAGAGGTAAGGAGAACCAGTCTGAGTCCCAGAACTGAAGAACTTGGATTCAGACATTCGAGGGCAGGAAGCATTCAGCACAGGAGAAAGATGTAGCCTGGGAGACTAGGTCTATGTCTCATTTTCATGTTTTTCTGCCTGCTTTATATTCCCTGGAAGTTGATTAGATTATACCCACCAGATTAAGGATGGATCTGCCTTCCCCAGCCCACTTTGACTCAAATAGTAATCTCTTTTGCCATCAAGCACACAGACACACCCAGGATTAATACTTTGTATCCCTCAATCCAATCAAGTTGACACTCAGTATTAATCATTACACCTCCCTAATGTCTTCTTCAGTTACCCTAAATTCCAAGCACCCAAGAATGGCTATGAAGGGCAAGGCGCATTTAGGTCTTGAATTTACTCAGCAAGTGTTGACCTTAAGACAGAGGAGATTGCTGTGAAGCTGATGCCTGACCCTTTTCTGCATAGCAAGGAGGCAGAGCTGGGCTAGGGAGAATTCCACATGGCCTCAGGCCTTACTGCAACCGGTAGATCCTAGAATCTAAAGGCTCTAAGACATAAGGTCACAGACAATTCAAAAACAAAGGGAAAACATTTTGGGATATGGGTCTATGCAAAGATTTTTTGGCTGAGACTGCAAAAAAAAAAAAAAAAAAAAAAAAAACCAAAACCAAAAATAGACAAATTAGACTACACTAAAATTTTTAAAAATTCTGCACAATCAAGCACAACAGTGAAGAGACAACTGGTTGAATGAAAGACAAGATTTGCAAACTATTCCTCTGACAAAGGAATAATATCCAGAATATACAAGGAAACTCAAACAACTCAAGATTTATGAAACTAGAGGGTACAAAGTTTCTTTGCATTCTCTATATTTGCTGCAGTCTTATACATTCTATGCATGTAACAAAATATCTCATGTACTTCATAAATAGGTTTAACTATTATATCTGAATAAAAAGGTATCCTGAATACCTTTAGCTCCCACTTATAAGTGAGAACACGTGGTGTTTGGTTTTCTGTTTCTGTATTAGTTCACTTAGGAAAATGGCCTTTAGCTGCATCCATGTTGCTGCAAAGGATATGATTTCATTTTTTCATGGCTGCATAGTATTCTTATTCTATGATCCGTCTATTTTTTAATGTTCTGTTGCACATAAACTCTTGGTTGCAGGGTGTTTTGTTTCCAGGACTTGAGGAAAGAATTAGTGTGAAGTCAAATGTCTCATATCTATAGATGTTCAGTAAATCACCCTGTTTTCAGCCCCACGTCTCACTTTTATCCTCCATTGTACCTGATTTTTTAAAGGTTCTGTATAACAGATTGTTATTTTTCTAGATGTATTGATACTATGCATATTTTGGCTGCTTCAACACTGGTTTTTTACTGTTATAAAATTTGTTGGCTTGTTTACTGTCTTCTAGAAATTCATTAAAAGCTCTCAGGTGTCTTGCACTAGAAGAGTATATCGGGAAGTTTCTACATAACTAGAGGGTTAGAACTGACTCTTAAGTGGTCTGAATGCTGATTCAACTCACCTTTCATCAGTCCTTATCTCTACTTTATTTTATTGCTCCTTCTTTCTTTCTTTTTTGAGGTATGCTGAAGATATTCCTGCGGAATCATCCCAGGTGCCACATTACAAGAATGATTCAGTTGACAGCTACCCCTGTGAGTGCACTTGTTGATGAGCCAGTGCGTATCCGAGCTACAGGTCTGACTCCCTTTCAGGTGGTGAGTTTTAACGCGTCACTGGAAGATGAAAAGAGAAACGTGTTTTATTCTCAAGCCCACTATAGGGCCAATGAATTTGGTGAGGTGGACCTGGAGCATGCTTCTTCACTTGGAGGGGATTATGTGGGAGTCCACCCCATGGGTCTCTTCTGGTCCCTAAAACCTGAAAAACCATTAAAAAGACTGTTGAAAAGAGATGTGATGAATAGCCCCTTTCAGGTCCAATTAAAACTTTATGACTCAGTGTTACTACCGAACAATAAACCTACCAGTGCTCCAAAGGCCAGCCTGACTTTGAAGAGGTGGTATGTGGCACCTGGTGTCACACGAATTCAGGTTCGAGAAGGCCGCCTTCGAGGAACTCTCTTTCTCCCTTCAGGTGAGTAGAATTTCTCTGTTTTATTGTTATTCTTGTTTTTCCACTTTAAATACACTATCCCTCTAGAAATTTAGCTTAAATATGGATAATACACTTGCTTCCTGCCTTACAATCAATGTTAATCTTGGGTCAGAACAAGAATGTGGTAATATTCCACTCCAACTCAAGTTTCATCTCAACAATTCTGAACCTTGTCCCTTGTCTAAGAATGTGACTACATATAGTTTATGGAGTCCCTACATTATGGGATTTACATAGTTTTGGATTTATGCTAAATTTTTCTGCATTGAAGACTGGCTATATGAAGACCCTCATCCTGATGTGACGGAAACCATATCCCAGATCCTTGTGCAGGCTCTGTCAGGTTGAGTTTCAGTTTAGGCACGGGATTATTACCTTGTTGGCGCAACAAGCTTGAGATAAGATGGACTGAAAGACTGCAGCAAGTATAGAGAACGCAAAGAAACTTTGTACCCTCTAGTTTCATAAATATTACATATTTATAGACTATTCCATGAATCAGATAATATAACACGCTTCCTAATGGCTACAAAACTCATTGGAAAACTCAGTTTCCCACAGAAATCTCCAAATACCAATAAATAACTTGTTTACTTGTTTAAACATCTCTTGGTACATTTCTCAGAGTTTATTGTGGGACCAAATAAAGCAAAGTTCATTTCTCAGAAGAAAAGAAGCAATAAAAGCTTTCCTTTCCAAATTCACCATAACCCATGCATTTGTTCAGATAATTTTGAATTTTTAAAATACCCAGTAAACAGCATGTAGACCACTTTATTATGTGTAGGAACAAAGAATTAAACAGCACAAATTGCTGTGCCTCTATTATCCTACCCCAGTTAAAAATCTGTTTATTGGTGCAGGCCTTCCATCTTGGAATCATGTGCTGGCGTAGAGTGTGCTGTTTGTGAACCCTCTTGAATGATGCATGTGCTGGGTCTCTTGCTTCAAGTGTGTTTTCTACAGGGAAAACAAAAGAGAGTTGAGTTGTGTGAGGACGTAAGGAGGTTGAGTCAGATCACAAATATTTCTTGATGGCAACATTCTTCCAAGATAAAAGACTCAGTACTTTCAAGTGTTCCCCATTCTTGTGAATCAGAAGGTCAAAATGTCTTTATTTATTTATGCAAATGATAATTTATAACTCAGATATATTCAACATCACTTTATTTCTTCTTTATTCAATGTAATTAGTTATAGTAATATAAAAAAATTCCCAGTACCCCTTTAAATCAAGCCACTCCTTTCAAACTTGGATTGGTCTATCTTAGTTAAAAACACTTATAAAAGAATAGAATATCCCTAATAAGTACATTGTGAATTTCTTTCAGTGTGTGGGTTCTGCTTTGTTTTGGAAAAAAGTGACCTATGTGGAGTGAGTGTAGAGTGATACTCTGGCCGTCCCTACTTTTTACCATGTGTCAGCCTGCAGAAAATGATCATGGTGTTATTGAATAAAAGGGCTCATCATTTACACATGCTTAGGTGTAAGATTTCATCACTGTACAGTCAAATGAATGTAACAGAGCAGTGTTAAGTCAGGATTTTAGCGAATACAACCATTTCAAAAATTTTTTTGAAGCGTATATTTCTTTGAGAACCAAGTTAAACCTGTGGAACCTCTCATAAGTAAAATTCACCTCTCTCTATATATATATACACCATATTTAGCATAGATTGTAATTTCAGGATCTTCATGGATTTCCTAAAGCCTATTTGTAAATTTCTTTATAGGTTAAGAAGCCTTGGCCTTGGTTGGGCGTGGTGGCCCATGCCTATAATTCCAGCACTTTGGGAGGCCGAGGGGGGCGGATCACGAGATCAGGAGTTCAAGATGAGCCTGACCAACATGGTGAAACCCTGTCTCTACCAAAACTACAAAAAAAAATTGGTTGGGTGTGGTGGTGTACACCTGCAGTCCCAGATTCTCAGAAGGCTGAGCCAGGAGAATTGCTTGAATGCGGGGGCAGAGGCTGCAGTGAGCTGGGTCTGTGCCCTCGTACTCCAGCCTGGGCGACAGAGTGATACTCCATCTCAAAAACAACAAACAACAATAAAAGAAGCCTGGCCTAATTTCTATGCCTTTCTTTACAACAAGGATATAGAAACTCCTGTGAATTCCCATCTCCTTGGCTGCAGACAATAAATATGTCAGTGAATGCAGTTCCCAAACATTTAGGTTTTATGTTCCATTATATATTCAATGGGCCTTAATTCTGCATCAGATAGAAGGCTAAAAGTGTTGGAACTGTACTTGAAAATTTAAATGTTAATTTCAAAATTACATTTGAAATGTAATTTTGCATTTCTGCTTTGTGTTCTCATGTTTTTATTATCTTTTTCACACCTTCTCTTCATGTACAATTCTGTTTTGTTTTGTTATTTTTCAGGAGAGGGTCAGTTCCCAGGGGTAATTGATTTGTTTGGTGGTTTGGGTGGGCTGGTGGAAATTCGGGCCAGTCTGCTAGCCAGTCGTGGCTTTGCCTCCTTGGCCTTGGCTTACCATAACTATGAAGACCTGCCCTCCAATCCAGAAGTAACAGATTTGGAATATTTCGAGGAGGCTGCCAACTTTCTCCTGAGACATCCTAAGGTAATTTTTACTTTTCAGTAGGTTTGAATCCCTGAGTTTTTTAAAAATTTATTTTTAATTTTTTTATTTTAAGAGACAAGGTCTTGCTCTGTCATGCAGGCTGGAGTGCAGTGGCATGATCTGGCACTTGGCCAGAAGCCAGTGCCTTTGATACCACAATGGGCACAGGCTAACTTCCTATGCATTTTATCTTTCTGAGCAAAAGACACTGGCTAAGAAATAAATCATGTGAATTATAAATAACATGGGCACGAATAGAATTTCAATTTCACTGAGAGAGAATCATACTTGAAAGTTAAGAGAAGTCATAGGATATTATGGTTATTTTTTTAAAAGGGACTGGCTGGGTGTGATGTCTCAAGCCTGTAATTCTAGCACTCTGGGAGGCCAAGATGAGAGGATCAATAGAGGCCAACAGTTCAAGACCAGCCTGGGCAACATAGTCAAACTCTGTCTCTATAAATACTAAAACAATAGCTGGGTGTGGTAGCAGATGCCTGTAGTCCCAGCTGGAGAGGCTGAGGCAGGAGAATTGCTTGAACCTGGGAGGCGGAGGTTGCAGTGAGCTGAGATTGCACCAGTGCACTCCAGCCTGGGCAACAGAGAGAGACTCAGTCTCAAAAAATTAAAATTAAAACTAAAAAATTAAAATTAAAATAAAAAAATACAGAATTTCAGAACCTGAAAGGATCTTTTAATTGATTTAAGCCACCCCTCTTAAATATACAGGGTAGGAAATAGAGAGTACATATAACTCATTCCATTTGTTTAGTTTTTTTCTCTCTTACCCTAAGAATATCTCACATTTCCATTGGTTTGGCATGAATTGTACATTGATTCATGTATTTCTAAGTAGTAGAGAAAATATCCCAAACATTGGTTTATAAAATGCCTTTAAAATGTAGGAGATCAATTAAAATAAATACAGGAAGTCAACAAAGGTTTTAGAAAAGTGATGCTTCTCTCTGAGACTCTGTCCTCGCCGGTAGCCAATGCTCGAGGAGAATCAGAGCTTTATTTTGTGGCACAAGAAACAATTTGCTTTAAGTCCTTTTCCTTTGAATTTCCAACCAAATTGCTAAATGGGAGCAATGCACTCAATACTCAAAAATAACTCATGAACACATGGGTTTCTTTTCAGTTTTACTGGTCTTAGCTTAGTTCAGGACATCAAAATTTCCTGCTTATGCCAGTGAAATAAGCTACGGCTTTTCTGCGTCCACTTGTGCAAGTCAGAGTTGAAAGACGGGCCTTCCTAGAGCACAGCTATTTTGCTCACTTGGCTTAAGAGTATCCCTATTTATTACAGGATACAGGCCAGGCTTCCTAGCATGTTAGACAAAACTTCCTGTGGTCTGACTTCTGCATACTTATTCAGTCTTACCTTATGCCCATCTTAAAATTTGTCCTAATTCTCCTCCTTAGTTACGAAAAGAACTGAAGATGCTTAATACATCTTTCAAAGCTATGCACCATGAAGTTGGTGTTTTCTGTTCCAAACTTCTTATGTTATTTCCCACCTTATGCTCTAAAATCAAGTAATGAAGAACTGCTCGTGGTTCCTCTAAATGTCTTGCTCTTCATTGCCTCTCAGTTTTTGCATGTGTTTCACCCATGGTGAATATATTAGGAACGTTTTGGCTACACTTCCCAGAAAAGTGGCCGATGGTGGCTTAAACAATGTTAACATAAAGCCTCTTATTCTCTTATATAACAGGTTTGGTGATAGGTGGTGCAAACTTTGATTTAGAAACTCAGTGTAGATTTTGATCAAGGAGATTAGATTGACATTTCTGCAATTTTCTAGCCTTACCCTGAAGATCACAAAATGACTTTGGCAGTTTCAGGAATTCAGTCAACAGGCCAGCATCTTAGTCTGAAAAGAATGACCATAAACATAGGCTTTCTCTTCATGATTCTGTGTCATTTTGCACAGGGCAAAAACAAAGTCTTTAGGTAGACTATGTTGACCTTAGAAGAGGGGCTGAGAAAGGGAAATAGATTAGAATCCATCAGAATTTATCCCTTGGGGCTGGATATATTGCTACACTGCACAAAATCAAGGTCATATTTGCCTTGAAATTGTAGAGAATGGCTCTTGTGTAGGCAACTAACAGTGTCTTCTATACTCAGCATAGAATACCATTCCTTCTTGTTGGGTTTCTTGTTCTTTATATTTTTTGAGACAAGGTCTCATTCTGTTGCCCAGGCTGGGGTGCAGTGGCACAATCATGGCTCACTGAAGCCTTGAACTCCTGGGCTCAAGTGATCCTTCCACCTCAACCTCCTGAGTAGCTGGGCCTACAGGCACACACTGCCACATCCAGCTAATTTTTAAAATTTTGTAGAAATGGGGTCTCACTATGTTGCCCAGGCTTGGCTTTCATTTTTGATATGAAGACTCATTTTGCAGCCCGTTTCCTCTGAGAGTCTTTCTTTGATCCTGCCATTATTTCCTGCTAATCTGGGTTGGCAGTCTGGCCTATATGCATTCTTATATCGCAGAATCGATGATACTTTAATCACTGTTGTGTTTTTTTCCTCCTTTCTCTCCATCTGGCAGTGAGTTCCTTAATGACAAGAGATTGTTCCTTTCTTCTCTGTGATCACCAGTGCTTGCTGTAGGATGGAGGATCAAAGGATGCTTATTTGATGACTGACAATGAGGGAGGAAGCTGAGCCAAGCCTCCTTTATGACATTTTTCTCCAAAATAAGAAAACTTTTGGAAAACCCAAAGCAAATCTAGAATCCTTTGTTGAAGTTTCCATGCTCTACCCTACTGATCTCACTTTCCTTCCTGGTCTCTTCCTACAAGGCGCCCTTTCCTCTAAAGGGAGCTCAGGATTGGTGCAAGAACGTTTACCAGTCACTGTACCCTGACCACATTATTCACAATAGTCACATGCCATTTCTCATTCTCCCTACTACATCTGCATTTCTTTGGGGCATTTTAAACTCAGAACCAAACACAATACTGAATCCATAATATACAGTCGGTAAAGCTTGACATGTTTTTGGAGTACTTCTTTTGAACACATATTATATATTGTAGAATTCTATAGCTAGGGTTGTGGGTGGGATTAATACTTGCTTTTGAAGTTCTTTGTTTTTTTTTTGAGATTGAGGAGTGTTCTTAGAAGGATAGAATAATTTCTCATTTCTGTTATTTATTTTCAGGTCTTCAGCTCAGGCATAGGGGTAGTCTCTGTATGTAAAGGAGCAGCAATTGGACTGTCTATGGCGATTCATCTAAAACAAGTCACAGCTGCGGTACTTATTAATGGGACCAGCTTTAGTTTTGACGTTCCACAGGTATATCGTGGTCAGATCTATCCGCCCCTTCCCTATTCTCCACAATTAATATCCACCAATGCCTTGGGGTTAGTAGAGTTCCATCAGATTTTTAAGGAAACTCAGGTTGGGGCCAGTCAATATTTTTTTCCCATTGAAGAGGCCCAGGGGCATCTCCTCTTCATTGTGGGAGAAGATGATAAGAATCTCAACAGCAAAGCACACGCTGAACAAGCCATAGGACAGCTGAAGAGACACAGGAAGAACAACTGGACCCTGCTATCTTACCCTGGGGCAGGCCACCTGATAGAGCCTCCCTATTCCCCTCTGTGCTGTGCCTCAATCATGCATGATTTGAAGATGTACTGGGGAGGAGAGGTGATCCCACATGCAGCTGCACAGGAACATTCTTGGAAAGAGATCCAGAAGTTTCTCAGGAAGCACCTCATTCCAGATGTGACCAGTCAACTCTAAGACTAGATATTCCTAGAAAATAAAGAAGCAAATCTCTACCAGAACCTTCTCTCAATTTTCATGGAGGAATGTCCTCCCCCCAACACAGACATTTTTAAATTAATTTTAATGATTAAAAAGAGCACAGGGTAAAAACCCGATATTTCACTTATACTGCATAACAAGCTAACCAAATTGGACATGGTGGATAAATCATAAGTAATTTTACTTATTATTTACATGACTTTTCTTACCATCAGGTCTTCTAAATGGGACTGAGGTATAGTACACTGGCAAAAATAAGAAGAAGCAAACAAGAATAGCACCAAAGTAACAGATACCAGAACCAAATACCATGTCAGAAAACACGATATAGTAACAATTTATCAGTTTAGAGCAGCATGAGAAAGTTACTATTAATTATTTTAGTGATATTTTTCAACTTCACCACAGTAAATTTGCAACATCATTTTTCATTTGAGGGGTAGTAAAATTCAGGTCAAAAAGGAAATTAGGAATGGAGTACCTCAGTTAGTTCATTCCAGTAAATTACCTCTTCAGTTCTTTTTTTTTTTTTAAGAGGGAGTTTTGTTCTTGTTGTTACTAAGGCTGGAATGCAATGGCGCGATCTCAGCTCACTGCAGCCTCCGGCTCCTGGGTTCAAGCAATTCTCCTGCCTCAGCCTCCCGAGTAGCTGTGACTACAGGTGCACGCTACCATGCCCAACTAATTTTTGTATTTTTAGTAGAGACGGGGTTTCACCTTGTTGACCAGGATGGTCTCGATCTTTTGACCTCATGATCCACCTGCCTCAGCCTCCCAAAGTGCTGGGATTATAGGAGTGAGCCACCGCACCTGGCCCTCTTCATTTCTTAAAAACATGCCCATTAGCACATAACTGAGACATAATAACTAAGACTAGAAGAGACTTAGTTTAAGTCATGAAGCAAATTCTAATGGAAAGTACAAGAAGATGGAACCAATGAGTTTGAAAATGCCCCTTACTGAAAATCTGTACTAAAAATAAAATTAATAAAAGTGAAAATAGAAACACGACTCTGTTAGTACATACTAGCCTGAGTAGTTTGATGAACGGACTGATTGGGCTAACTGTCACTGTACTTCCATCAGTCATGTTAGAGCAGCACACAAATGTGAGCTCTATGTGGGCAGGTACTATATTTTCATAAGACCCAAGTAGTTACTGTACATCCTATAAATAAACAACATTTGAGTTTGATATCTGACTGAATATATGAGGACTCCATATAGTTCAACCACATGATTGGTTGGTTGCTGTACAGTCTTGTGTAAATATTAAATTTTTTTTTTTGCTATAAGGCTTTGGTCATACAGTTCTCATAACAACATAACTACCATCTAGCATGTACCACGTTCTGTAAGCCTTTAAGTTCAACAATCCATACTGTCAATTTGTATTATGTCCAAATGCAGTATCCTTGAGGAATATAGTGGGTCGGTTAAATATCTAGAGACATACAAACATCTGCGAATTCATCCCATTGAGATGGATCATACTGATCTCCATCATCAACCTACTTTTCAGCAGCTTCTCCTACTTCATTCACCTCATAGTCTTTATCCTGAGGGAATTCCGTATCCTGTCTCTCATCTACACTTTCTTGCCCTCCTGGTTGTCTACACAAACACCATAGGGTCAAGATCCACGTCTTATTCCAACACTGGCTGCCAACATGATCTTCTTACACACCATAGATTTGCATTTTTATCCTTCTTATGCACCAAGAAATGTCTTTTTACTTGTTCTCTTCAAGTGTAAAAATATCACAGCTAAATGATCTCACTCCTGTATGAATAAGCAAGTGCTTTTTAGTGTTTGCCTGCATTTGGCTGCAGAGCTACAATGATGGCATTTTAACTTATTCATGGTTAGAGATGGTGATACAGTTTGGATATTTGTTGTGCCCAAATTTCATGCTGAAATGTAACCCCCAGTGTTGGAGCTGGAGCTTGGTGGGAGGTGTTTAGGTCATAGGGGCAGATCCCTCATGGCTTGGTACTGTCCTCATGAGAGTATGATAGTGAATGAGTTCTCAAGAGACCTGACTGTTCAAAAGTGTGTGGCACCTCCTCTTCACCCTCACACTGTTTCTTGCTTCCTCTCTTGCCATGTGAGATACCTCCTCCCCATTCACCTTCTGCCATGATTGTAAACTTCCTAAGGCCTCCCCAGAAGCCAAGCAGATGCAAGCATCATGCTTCTGTAAAGCCTGCAGAACCATGAGCCAATTAAACTTCTTTTCTTTATATATTATCCAGTCTAAGGCCTTTCGTCATAGCAATACAAGAACAGCCTAACACAAATGATTCACCATTTCCCCAGGTTTCTTGTTTTGGCCAAGATTCTGGCAATAATCCATATCTGACATTATTTAGAGGACCTGGTATCAACTGATACTTGAAATCATTTGAAGCATCTGATACCAATTAATACTTGAAGTCACTTGAAGTGTCAGGTGTCAAACTATATTTATTATAAAATCATGTGACGTTCTAGCATCACCTCCATGTTGATTAGACCCAGCTTCAGCCAATATAGTCTTATCATCATCTGGCTCTGAGAGTAGAGCAACATCCATATCTGGTTCTTCCAAGATTTCTACCCATATCTGAGTAGCCTGTTTTCCTCTGAAAAGGCAATAGGTGGCTACATCATTGATTAATCTTCCAAATTTGTTTCATTATTAGATGATGTGTTATAAATAAATCTCTTTGTAGTTTGGTTTTTCCTCCATGTTTCCTAGTATATTGAATTCCCTGGGATCCCATATTATTCCCAGCAAACACTTATTTGACCTTTGGATTCATTTTCAGCCATTTTAGGAGATGCATTCTGGACCCAACTATTGTCATTCACTTAGTTTTCTGTCTGGCCCTAGTTGACATGACAACCATCATTTTCAATTTTTATATTACTTGCCAAATTGGTAAGATTTAATGTTGCCCCAAAATTGGCAATTTTTGATCCCATGATAAAGATAGACCATCTCTATTAACTGTTTGTTTGTTTTTTGTTTTTGTTTAGACAGTATCATTCTGTCACCCAGGCTAGAGGGTAGTGGCACAATCTTGGCTCACTGCAACTTCTGTTTCCCAGGTTCAAGTGATTCTCATGCCTCCTGAGTAGCTGGGATTACAGGCATGAGCCACCACACTCAGCTAATTTTATATTTGTAATAGAGACATGGTTTTGCTATGTATGCCAGGTAGATCTTGAACTCCTGGCCTCCAGTGATCCATGTGCATTTGCCTCCCAAAGTGCTGGTATTACAGGCATAAGCCAACCTGACTGGCCGAGTTTTCTGTTATTATAATCCATAGCTGCAGACCCTGGAACTTCTTCTGATTTAATGCTTATATTTAATCTTTAATAAATTTAGGCATCTTTAATAAAATTTTAGCAAGTTTGAAATTTCACTTGTTTGAAGATAGGCCACTGTCACTATTTTGGCTTGTGAGCACCAGGTTACCAGAATGCAAGAAGTCCACAAAGACTGAAAAATATTAACTGCAGCAATATCTAAGTGGGCAGTATTATTTTGGTTAGGGCTTTCTTTGCTTTTTTAATGCTGTATAAGGTCTTAAAGAAATGTTGCCAGCAACCAGGATGTTCTAAGGAGCCTTAAAGATTTTCTGCTTACTACAATGCTGACACCACAAAGGGTACCTTTCTTTCTTTGTTCATTTTGTTGTCACAGAAGTTGACAGCAGTAACAGTTCTCATTTGGTCTACAAGTAAAGTCACAGTACCCCTCCTCTGATGATATTTCTGACTCCTTAACATTGGCTTCATGGAGTTTGTACTCAGCAGACATGTGGAGCCACAAGGGAAGGGTTTTCTTGTCATTGTGGGTCCCCCAAAAAAGCTCATCATTCCCCACTTGGGGAAGGTTCAGACCTCCATCATCCATGGGAGTCTTTTGGCACCAACCCCTAGTTATAAGACCAGTATCCTTGGAATATTGCAGCAAGGGAAAGTCCTTGAGCTGTGAGGTCTGGGAGGAGCACTGCAGCTTCTGCACTAGAGACTTAGACTGCATGAGTGGGAAGTTCTGGACAGCCTCCTTCACCAGCTCCTACACTGCTGTCCTTCACAGTGGAATGTCTTTGATCACTTATTGTAAGAAGGAAGTCACAGCTAGAGAAGGGAAAGAGGACTGAGAATGGTCACCTTAACTTTGAAAGGGAAAAATGGTTTCCACTTCACCCAATATCATACACTGAGAATCCCGTATTTGTAGAGTAGAAATAAACTTAGAGTTCTACCTGACCTAAGACATTCCAGTTTACAATCATAGCAATACATAAGGGAAAAAAGCTACCACTGATAAACCACAGAATGCCCTGGCTTACAAAACAGATGTGAAAAGAATCAGAGGTTGACATTTGTTGATGTCTTAAAACTCAAATTAAATATGCTTAGTGCTCTCATATTTGAAAATGGTAATGTAATTGTTATTGGAAAACTAGATCTGGGAAAAGATTCTATTAGTTTAAGGCAACTTGGAGGTTGATAAGGATATACGATCATAGAATGAGTCTACAATCAATAATTCAGCAAGAGCTAATTAAATTAAATAAACTTATTTTTGCACTTAAACATGTCCAGCATTTTGGCATTTTCAGCAATGAGAAAGGAATCATGTGAAATTCACAGAATTGCAACTTGAGACACAGCCATGATGAGGGGATTATCTGTCTCTAGATTCAGAGCTGGCAAAATCTTTCTGTAAAGTACTAGATAGTAAATATTTTCAGCTTTTCAGGCCCTAACATCTCTGTCACCACTACTCAGCTCTGCCATGGTACCACACCTATGGATACTGTGTAATGAATGACTGTGTCTGCATTACAATTAAACGATATGTATGAACGCTAAACTTTGCATATAGTCTTTGCATCACAAAATAGTACTTTTCTTTTTTTCCAATTATTTACAAATATAAAAATCATTCTTAACCCACAAGGAGTACAAAATTAGGCTGTAGGTTACGTGGCTTTTTATGGTCCTGGGCATAGTGGAATCCAAATAACCTTGTCCAAGGTCAACTTTGAGGGGTTTTCTCTAACGGGCAAGTCACAGCCCAAATATTTCTGAGCTACTAAATTGCAATGTACGAAAGTAGAAGGTGAAGATGAATGACCTTGAAATATATTTTGAATCATTTTCTAGGTAGGTAGGGAGCCAGTGAGGAATTAGAGTAATGGAAGTAACATGAGGACACTTGGGTTGTGTGTGCCTAAACTCTTCTGTCTGCTTTCTGATACTCCCTCTCTTTGGAGTAAAATCATTCCATTTGGTTGAGTGAGACTAATAGCCCCTCTCCTCTCTCAGTTACAGAAGTGGTCATATTTTATAGACCCAGTCAGTAGGAACATCTCCTTTGACTATATCAGTAATAATCATATAATTGTAACGGCTAACGCCTCCAGTTCAAAGTTATATAGTAGTTGTCATAATGGGTATAATTTCTTATTTCCTCTTTTGGACTTTAGGTGGAATGTTTCTGCTCTGACATGATGTTGGTGTTTGGCCTAATGTATATCTCTTGATTTATATTCTATGAAATTTTTTTTAGACTAAGAATTTTTTGAATTGTTGTTCAAGGGCTTTTTTAGCATTACTAGAAATAATTCTATGGTTTTTCTCTGAATATCTAAATGGAATAAATTTTTTTTTAGTATTTAATCATCTTTGTGTTTGTGAAATAAAACTCATTTGGTCATGACATATTCTTAATTAACATTAATAAATAGGATTAAACTGTTGTTTTCTTTTTCATGACATTTTGGGGTTAGATATATCAATGTACTTCTTTCATAAAAAGAATCTTTAAAAATTTCCTTTTTCCACATAATAGTTTAATCACAATCAAAATTATCTCCTTTGTGGAAAGTTTAGTAGTGCTATAATAGATATATAATTATTCCTGGTAACTGTTTAAAAGACAACCTGGATTTTTATTGATATCTGGTATAATATATTTTTTCTATATTATGATGGATATTTCCAATCCAAACCAGTTATTTATATTTTTTATCCTTTCACATACCAGAAAAATAAAAAAAATATTTAAAATTAAGTTACATGATATAATCTTTAAAAAAAAAACCCTCAATCTGGCACATTAATGTTGCCAGAGTTAAAACAGAAAAGGCCATGAACTGATACTTTTCAAAAGAAGACATACATATGGCCAACAAGCATATAAACAGTTCAACGTCACTGATCATCAGAGAAATGCAAATCAGAACCACAGTGAGATACCATCTCACACCAGTCAGAATGATTACTCTTAAAAAGTCAAAAAATAACAGATGCTGGTGAGGTTGCAGAGAAAAGGGAATGCGTATACACTGTTGATGGGAGTATAAAATTCAACCATTGTGGAAAGCAGTGTGGCAATTCCTCAAGGAGCTAAAAATACAACTGCAATTTGACCCAGCAATCCCATTACTGGGTATATTCCCAAAGGAATAGGAATTGTTCTGTCATAAAGATACATGCATGCATATGCTCACTGCAGCACTAGTCACAATAGCAAAGACATGGAATCATCCTAAATGCTCACCAATGGTAGACTGAATAAAGAAAATGTGATACATATACACCATGGAATACTACATAGCCGCAAAAGAAGAATAAGATCATATTCTTTGCAGGAACATGGATGGAGTTGGAAGAAACTAACACAGGAATAGAAAACCAAATATTACATGTTTTCCTTTATATGTGGGGGCTAAATGATGAGAACACATGGATTCAAAGAAGGGAACAACAGACACTGGGGCCCATTTGAGGGTGGAGGGTAAGAGAAAAGAGAGGAATAGAAAAAAATAGCTATTGGGTACTAGGCTTAGTACTTGGGTGACAAAATAATCTGTATAATAAATCCCTGTCACATGAGTTTACCTATATAACAAACCAGCACACTTACCCTTGAATCTAAAATAAAAGTTAAAAATATTTAAAAAGCAAAAAAAAAAAACTATATAAATTTTTGCTTCATAAAAAAATGAACAAAACTTGGTAAAAGATATTGACTTTTTATTGTGATAAAATAGATACAACATAAAATAGACATAAAATATTTAGTTCTATAATATATATGCTGTATAGTGGCACTAAGTACATTCACATTGATATCAAGTATCATTACAATTGTCTATCTTCAGAACTTTTTGATCTTTCCAAACTAAAACTTTATATCCATTAAACAATAATTTTTTCCCCTTCCCCTAGTTCCTAGAAAACACCTTTTTATTTTCCGCTTTTGTGAATTTAACTATTCTAGGTTCCTCATATAAGTAGAATCCTTATTTGATCTTTTGTGTGTGGCTTATTTTACTTAATGTAATGTCTTCAAAGTTTACCCATTTTGTAGCATGTGTCAGAATTTTCTTTGCTTTTTTACAGTTGAATGATACTCCATTGCGTGTGTATTTACCCATCATTTTATTTAGTCATTCATCTGTTGATGGACAATTGGGTTGTTTCTACCTTTTGACTATTTTGAATAATACTGCTATGAACATTGGTATATAGAGATGTATTCAAGCCCTGCTTTCAATACTTTGGATATATACCCAAAGTAGAATTCTTGGATCACATGGTAATTCTATTGATTTTTTGAGGGATCACAATACCATTTTTTCTAATACTGCCACCATTTTACATATCCAACAGCAATACACAAGAGTTCCAATTTCTCTTCATTCTCATCAACACTTTCATTTCCTTTCCTTTTCTTTTCTTTTCTTTTCTTTTTTTTTTTTTTTTTTTTTTTTTTGATAATAGCCATTGTGTTAGGGGCATACCTTGGGTGACTTTATTTAGCTAAGGTAATCCTTGAAGATGGCTGACAGCTAGGTGCTGTTTCCCAGCAGTGCTTTCAACAGCTGGATTACAAATCTTTGATTCCTAAAGGAGGATCTCAGCGCAGCCATCAGTGTTACTGACAGCTTACTGACTTCTGCCACTTATGGGCCCCACTATTTCTGGAATTTCTTTCTGCCTTACCTGGAGATTGATTTCCTCACAGGTGCTTCCTCTTCTCATAGAGCTGTCTCTTTCTGGGAGGGAATATTTGTAATTTGTTAGATTTATCTGTCTTCCAGTTTCACTGAAGTGTGCCTTTTTTGGTAACTGATTGGTTTTCAGGAGGAGTGGGGTAATTAGCACTAAGCTGCCACAATATTCCTATTAGAGGTAAACGTCACGAAAATTCTTATAATTATCTTTGATTTTTTTCAACTCTTTCAAATGACTCTTCACAATAGGTTGTTTTCAGAAACTTCTGATGAAATTTGGTAATTCAAAAGATAAAAAGAATCCAATATATTATGATTAAGGTGTTAGTTCACCTTGCTAGATTTGCTGTGGCCATACTCATACTGTCTTGTATGAAGAACACTGACTAAGATAAATTTGATTTATAAGTATAAATTCAGGTTGTTCAAATCAGCAGATCAATTTGCATTGTATATTAACTTGCATATCCAGTCCAAGTCATGAATATTGTTGTAGAGATGAACAATTTCATCACCTCTTTCAAGTTTTTGTTCAAATCTTGTTTTTGTTCAAATCTTGAATTATTATTATCTTTTTTAGAGGAGGATGACACAGTTTTATTTCAATAAAATCACAATGCTTTATTTTCCAACTGCAGCAAAGTGCATCTAAACTTTTTTATTACAGAACCACTTCTAAAAGGTTTCCTGTGACATTGCAGCAAGGCTTTTTTTCAGAGGAAAAATCCTAAATTCTTCTTCAAATAAAAATACATTATAGTAAATGGTAAATGCATAAAATTACAGTAAGCCAGACACTTAAAAGGACAGCCAAGAAGTCTTCCAGCAGTTTATTGGGAAGAATGTAGACATAAAAAATATCTCTACTGTCATTAACATAAATTGAGGTTTTCAGCCTTGGTACAAGCAGAATAAAAAAAAAAGGACATCAAAAATCCAAAGCATACTAACGTTTTTTCAGTCATTTGCCATACTTCCAGTGCAAATACAAATCTGGTCTAAAGCTGCAGGCTCTCAATCAACAATGTACAGCTTCCTTCATCCTCCATGCTAAGAGAATTAAAAGCTTATGTAACAAACAATACCAAACGAACAGGCTTCAGAAACCACCTATGTTACCGCGTTTACTCATTTTAGCTATAGTACATCTGGCACACTGACAAGTGATCACTTACATACAATAACGTGAAGTGAAATTTTTGAAATCTAAACGTTAGTGGAATAGTCCTGAAGTGTATACCACAAGAACAGCAGGTTACCAGTTTAAGGTGTCAGCCAATTTGCTTCATCTGCCTTTGAGTCCATATTCGATAACCTGAATTTAGTTATCCTTGCCTAAGCCGAGAGCTTCCTATCACATCGGCATTTAGGTTATGAAGAAAAGGAGACTTAGATGATATATTTCATTTATCACAACTGGTGCATCAATTACCTAGGACCTCAACAGCTTCATGGAAGTCTGGGAATGTTCGTGCATAAGGTTACTGTCTTAGCTGACTTCAACTTGCCCCCACACTGGTACATATCAGCCCTCAGTGAAGCCTTTAAAAACACAAACAAGTTGACAAATGGGTTAACACAGGCAAACACAGCAACTGCCTTCAGAACTGTCAACTCAGGAATTCTCTCAATTATGAAATCTTGCAGAGAAGTTGCTTTTCTTTTTCAAAATCCAGTTGACGACAATATTCCTTACTCCAGATCATTTTTTCATTACTATCTTGTGAATCGGCATCTGCTCCACTGACTTCTGGTAAATCCTCACCAGCCGTGTCGTACATGATCTCAGAGAAATGATCAAAATTAGACAAGTCTTCATCCAAGTCATCTTCCCAGCTTTTCCAATTATTGAAGTCCACACTCAGCCAATTAAGTTTTGCTCTTTCTTTTGTTAACTTTGGCTCATGATTGGCCAGATCCGCCTTTTTGTAAACAATATAAAGAGCAAAGTTTATATTTGTTCTTTGATGCCGGGAAGTTGTTCTTTGATGCTGGGAATCATTTGGATCAACACAGTGACAAGGGTCAATTTTCCTTAAATCTTTAAAATTGTCACTTCCTCCAAAAAAGCTGAACTTCAGTTTGGATTTTTCAAAATTTACGTTAACATCTTTACTGTCTTCAACACAAAATTTAATGGGGACATCTTCCAGTTGATAGCACCACTTTGCAGAAGCAGGCTGCATTGTGAACTGGGTAGGGGACTGGTGTACAGGTGGGCAGGCCTCTGTGGTGGCTGCTGCTAGGGAGTTGCCTCTTTTCTGGTGGTAACTCGGTGTTTTCCTCCCTGGTTGAGCCTCTTCTTTAGCAGCTGCAGCCTGACCTGGGTTCTCAGAATATGCCTAGCGGAGAGAGCGGCTCTTCCTGCTGGGGACAAGTGGAAAGTGTAGGAAAAGGGGCAGGAGGACAGAGAAGGTCAAATCTCGAATTATGAATAAAGATAACTTTGCTCTCCTTTTCAATATTGTATTCCCTTCCTCCCACCCATATCATCTTCCCTTTCACCCTGCTCTACTATCACCTTATACAGTATCCTGTAACTTATTATGATCTTTGTTTATTGCCTGTGGTTCATTACCAGAATGTAAGCTCCGTGAGGGCGGAAATTGTTGTTCTGTCCAGTGCTGTATCCTCAGTGCACACTATATATTTGTTGAATGAATGAACAGAAAATAACACTGGCTACCATTTACTATATAAATGAAAGGTGCTTTGCAGGTTATCTCTCAATCTTCATGGCAGACTAATGAAGTAGTTTAATATGAAATTTCTTCCAGCAACTGGAACAGAGTGATGAGAACTTTTTACATGAAAATAAACTTCAGCATAAAATAATAAACAATTGCTATCATTCCCTTCTCTTCACGAGGCTGAGGAAAAAAATAAAAAAAATTAGTACATTTTAAATTACCTAGTTAGGAATTTTTATGCAGTTGTGCATATATCCATATAAATATATTTCTTTCATATAGCCAATAAATATATTTCACCTCCATTGCAATAGCCTGAATATGTAGGATAAACATTCTTTCATATACTAAATAATTGTCAACTCCTATAAGTAACATTCCAACATATTTCTGAAAAGAAACTCAATTCATATGAAAATTTATTATGTGAGAATTCATACTACACTTCCTACCATCTATATTTTACATATCATTTTGATGTAAGGTGGGTGAGCCCCAAAGTAGGGCTTAGCCTGCAAGCATTCTTGGCTTCGCCTAAGGAAGAATTCAAGGCAACCTGGTGTTAGGGTAGAAGAAAATAGCCTGACTCAAGTGGAAGTATTACAGCTTCAGCAGTGTTGCAGCTCCGGTGGTGGTACAGCTCCGTGACTGCTCCTGCAGAGCCGGGCTGCGCCGCAGGCAGTGTGCTGAGAGCTGCGGCTCAGGGCAGCTTTGCAGTCATATTTATACCTACTTTTAATTACATGTAGATTAAGGGGTGGTTTATGCAGAAGTTGCCAGGCAAAAAGTGATAACTTTTGGGGCATGAGCTCATTGCTATGGAAAGGAGCGGCAACTACGAGGTGTTGCCATGGCCACGGTAAGCTGTCGTGGCATGTTGGTAAGTGTGCCTTATGAAAAACTGCTTCTTCCTCACCCCTGTTTTAGCTAGTCCTCAGTTTGGCCTAGTGTCCGAGCCTCACGCCTGGAGTTGAGTCCCACCTTCTACCTCAATTTGAACTTCAAAACAATAATTTTAGAAGTTTTAGTTCCCAAAGGTTTAAAATATTGATAGGACCTGAGCACCATCCTTAATATCATGCAGTCAACTTGATAATTATTAGTCTTACCCTAAAATATCAATGAAATCAGGAGATTGACACTAGCCTTGAAATATTGTTCAGAAAAAGAAACCCATAGATTCCCTAGTCAAAGTGCACATTTATTACCTCATGGGATCAATGCCCTTGTGAAAGACGTTGAAGACAATCTGCTGAGCTTGCATGTGCGAGGATGGGGCCCCGTGGCTTCGCCCTGCACCTCCAGGCCACCGAGGTCTGCATCTGCCCTCTGGAGTTCAACCTTCACTTAGTGGCTCGGTATGATACCCTAGACGGAGTGGCCCCTGCTCCTGGAGGCAGCTGATAGGTACCTTGCACCTGATCAGGGTGCCTAAAGGGCCAGTTGAGGCATATGAAGAGGATGAACAGTTTCTGAGGAAGATGCACCATGTGTGGCCAGAGATATATCTATACATAAATTTGTCTTTCTTTCTAGAAGGCACTTCTATACTTCTTTGTTTAATGAATCCCTACCCAGGTGTCAAGCTCCATTCACAGGTACCACCTCCAGGAATCTTTCCTGCTATGTGTTAGGCGCCCCTTGTGAGTACTCCTGGGATTTTATTTTTGGAAATGTACTTACCACACTCCATTAAAATTGCCGGTTTACTTTTTCTAGCTACATCAGGGGGTTAGCAAACTTTTCCTGTAAACGTCTAAATAGTAAATATTTTAGGATTGTAGGCTGTATTAGTCAGGGATTTTCAAAGAAACTAAAACTATTTATGCAGATTGATCCGTAATCTGAAAATCTGAAATGCTCCAAAGTATATGGTCTCTATTGTGATCATCAACTGCCAATGCAAAGTGAAAGGAGCTGTAAATAATACATAAACAAACTTTATCTATTAAAACAGATAGAGACTGGATTTGGTCTGCAGATTGTAGTTTGCCAAACCCGGAACTAGACTATGAATTTCTTGAGCAGGAACAGGGTCCTGATTAATTCAAACATCCTTGGATATAACGGGAACTTAATGAATTATTTTTGAATGAAAATGGAACTGATAGCATAATAGCTATGTGATTGCCATTATGGATCTGCATGTTGGCAAATTCACAAGCATCTTGGTTACTATCAGGAACTATATTTCACAATATGTTTACTTACGTCATCTGGATGTCCATATGTGTTTTCCTTCAGTTTGCATGTGCATATACTTTATTTTAGTTAAGCAAAAATGCATATATATAGCTTTATCACATTTTAAGTTTTCCTATAATTTTTCCAAATGAAATGATACAAATGCACAAAATCAAATAGAATTTTATTTAAAATAATTTGTCAATGTTAGGGTGTCTAGGCACTCTAAATTTTTCTTCAGTTATTTGCAAGGAAAATCAAGTAACAGTCATTAAGCACTAAAATATGCCAACTACTTTATACCTTCACCTCTATTTTACAATTCCTGATCCTTCTGGAGACTGTGAAAAATCTTTTCTCCTGAAAACAACCCTGACAGTTATTTCTGGGGTGTCCTTAGGGGATGTCTCATGTGTTAATCAGTAAGTTCTATCTGCTTCCCTGTGACACTGATCATTCATTGTTTTCTTTCTCTCTCTAGCTCTGCTTGCTTTAGGCCTTCTTCAGTGGTATGACCAAAGCTGAGTGATGTCCTCTCACCTTTGGGGTGTGTGTGTGGCTCAAACATTCTATTGACAACTGCTAATACTTCCCTTGTATATGGTGAACACCTTACGTCCAGTGCTTTGCCAGTGTCCTAAATTCTCATTGGCTATATCCCTTGAGGGTCTTTGGACCATGATGTCCTCTGTTCTGGGGAGCAGCGTGGAGAAGGCCTGGATGTGTGCTAGTTTAGCCTGTCTATCACTTTGTTACCCTAGTCATCATGACTTGCCTAGCCTTTCCTGTGTTTCTCTTAGAGCCTTAGTAAAAAATACTCATAGAGCTTTGGGATTTTGAATTGGTAAATATTCATGATGTGTGAAAAAGCATAATACATACTGTACGATCTCAGGGCCATAAAATTGGATGTTGTGCCTACACACGTACAGGATCTAGAAGAAAATGTCAAACTGTAAACTGCTTGTGATTGTGAATCACTTTGTTCTTTGCTTCTTGTTTTTCATTTTCCTATAATGCACATATTAACTTTATAAAAATAAAGGTTATTTTAAAAGCCAAAAAAAAAAAAAACCGGTTTCTATTTCTGTTGCACCTCTCCTCCACTTTATCTCCTATGTTTGGATCTGGTTCTGGAAATTAGTCATGAAGATGGGGTCCTTGCTATTTTGCCAATGTATCTCCCATCCAGTAGGAGAACTGTGTATCAAAATACCTCCTTTTTCTAGGCATCCCAATATATCTTTGAGTTCCAAGATCAACCCCTCTTTTCTATGTCTTATATTTCACTTTTATTACATTTTATCATGTTACTCCCATTTTACAATTTAGAAAGCTGAAGCACATGGCAAGTTAAGTAATTTGTTTGATGTAAATCACACAGAGTAATGGAGAAAGGGTTCTAATCTAAATCTCTCTGAATCCAGAGACCAGTGATCTTCCAACTATACCTTACTGGCTGCCAGAGATGCAAAAATGAAAAGGCAAGGCTCCTCCCTTAAGGAATTTGCAGCCTAAAGCAGAGTATACTATCTGTAAATTAGCTCATTTTTTACATTTTGACAATGGTCATTGGCTGATGAAATTAATAATGGACCATGGGAATTTCAGAAGTTCCAGTTCTAGGTAGCTTTTTTTTTGCCTGGGAGAGCTTTTGCTGTCCTTTGGAAAAGTGGTTTCCAGAATGGGACACACATTAGAAATCCCTGTTAAAAATACAGGTGCAAGTACCTTATCTCAGACCTATCAAGTCAGAACTTTCAGGTGCAGGACCCAGGAATCCTGACTTAACAGGCTCCTCAGGTGAGTCTTATGCCACCAGCTCACATTGCTCCTAAAATTGGAATTTGGGAGTTGCCCTTTTAGACATTGTTCCACGGGAAACTGTTCAGAGACCACTGACTTAAAGTAGGAAACACAGAAGGAACTAAAGCAAAGGAGACTACAGCCAGGAGTTGAGCGAGTCAAGAGAAAAGGCTTAGAAACCTGAGCTATGTGATGAAGTATTAGACTCTATTATGAATACCTGAACTAAAACACAGAGTAGCGAGACGACTCTGCCCAGACCCTTCGGTAGCATCTGCTGGTAGCCCTGTTGCTGGGAATTTAAAAAGAGGAGCAGTGGATGGTTTTTGTGCAGACAATTTCAACTTTCAATAGGCTGGGCTGTTTTAAATGATATAAATTAGCAAGCAACCAGCAAGCATCCAGTGCTTCTAAGTTGGCTTCTAAGTTCAGCAAGCCATCCTGCTTTAGGCTGCCTCCAGCAGCTGACCTCAACGGTGAGTATCTGGGGAGTCAGGGCTGTCATT